GGCAGACGGGGGCCCCAGGGCCGAGGAGCCGGGCAGACGGGCGTTGGGGAGCGGCTTGGCCCGGCTCCGGCCAGGGAGAGGCTGGCACTCCAGGCCCCAGAGCGGTGCTGCTGGCGGGTGCCCGAGGCCAGCGGGGGGCACTCACCTGTGTAGCCGGGGTTGCAGTTGCAGATCACCTGGCGGGAGCGGCTGTCCTGGCGGCAGGAGGCGGCGAAGTGGCGGGTGCTGCCGGGCCCGTCGGGGCAGGGGCAGGGCCGGCAGCGCTCCCCCGAGGCCAGTGTGGGGTTCCCGTAGTGGCCAGCTGCGCATCTGTGGGGGGAGGCAGTGAGAGCCCGGGGGCAGCCCAGACGAGAGCACCAGGCCCCCCAGCCCTGGGGACACCCGACTGCATCCCTTCCCCGAGGGGGGCCCGCGTGGCCTCGCCCCACCCTCCCTTCCTGCCGCTCCACAAGTCAGAGCCCCGGCCCCACGGGGCCAGCACCAACCGGGGTATGAACCGTCCGTGTAACTCTGTGCCCAGCTGTGCCGCAGCAGGGCGCGGGGCGGATTGACCCATGTCGCAGGGGAGTTTTACTGGGACTGGCTGCATGGGGGTGGGAGACACTCCGTGAGGGACGATACCTGAGCACGTAACATGAGAACCCAGGTAGGGGGCTGGGGCCAGGTGACACCTTCTACCGGGGAAACTGGACAAAGGCTGGAGGAGGAGCCGGGTGGCATGGCTGGAGGAGACGGCTGGAGGGGGTTTCAGTTTGCAGCTGGCTGGGAAATGGAGGGAGACCCAGGGCCGGGGTCTAAGGTCCCTGCCCCCCCAAGATGGACCGGACTGAGGGGTCCTGTTCTCTGTACCTAAAAGCTCTGTCTTGGACTGTGTTCCTGTCGTCTAATAAACCTTCTGTGTTACCGGCTGGCTGAGAGTCCCGGTGAATCGCAGGAAGTGGGGGTGCAGGGCCCTGACTCCCCCACACTTCCTGACACCAGCCCCTTGGCACTGCCACCCATTGGGGGGGGGAAACTGATGTTCTCCCTGGCACCGCAGCCCCTGCCCCAGGAGAACCCGTCTGGCACCACGGCCCCCATCCTGGGAGAACCTGGCCAGCACTGTGGCCCCTGCCCCGGGAGAGCCCCTGGCACCGCGGCCCGTCACCTCTGGCATCTGTCGCCATCCGTGTGGTCCCGGCAGTGCAGGCAGCTGCCGGTCCGTGGGTCGCACTCCTCCGAGTGCCCATTGCACTGGCAGGGCTGGCAGTGGGGGAAGCCCCAGGAGCCAGGCTGGCAGCGGTCGCAGCGGGGCCCAAAGGCGCCCGGCCGGCACGGGCACTGCCCACTGAAGCTGTCGCAGAAGCTGCTCAGGGCCCCGTCACTGTTGCACTGGCAGGCTGCAAGGGAGAGGCCGTGAGAGGGGCTGGGCACTGCCCGGGCACTGCCCACCCAGCCCGGCCAGAGCCCCAGGGCACTCACAGGGGTACAGGGCAGGTGGGAGAGACGCCCCCAGTGCAGAATCCATCTCCTGGGAACCGGGGACCCTCACCCCAGAACAGAGTCCCCCAAACAGGTGTGAGGGGAAGGCCTAGGACCTGTCCTCTGGGGAAGCCTGTTGGAGGAGGGGCGGGGAGCCCTCGTCGGGGGAGGGGTAGTCAGGGGGAGGCGCCCCCGTGGGGGGAGGGGCGGGCAGGGCGAGGGGGGGGAGCCCTGGGCTGGGGAGGGGCGGGCGTCACTCACCTCGGCATCCGCTGGGCCCAAAGCCAAAGGTGCCCGGGGAGCAGTGGTGGCAGCGACGCCCCGTCACGCTGGCCTTGCACTGGCACTGCCCCCCGTTGGGCTCGCACTCAGCGCTCAGCGAGCCCTGGGGGTCGCACAGACAGGCTGGGGGCAGACAGACGAGCGCGTGACCCATGGGCAGAGGGACGGGGGCAGCTTCTGCACAGGCATCCCAGCCCAGGCACCAGGCGCACCCCCCTCCCTGGAATACTCCGCCCGGAATCGGGGACCCCCCAGAATACACCAGTGTGACGAAGTGGGAATGTTCATAATGTTTTCTCTGACTACTGTGTGGGTGCCTCAGTTTCCCCTGTGCCTTTCTTGAGTATCTAGGTGGGGGGATCAGGGTGTGTGATTGTTGCAGAGCCCTAGAGATCCCCTGTGATACTGTCTGGACAGAGAATGGCCGGCAACTCTGTCTCCTGGCAACTAATGGCCTGGGCCCCGCCCCTGCAAAGGTGCCAACTGAAGGTGTTGGAGAACAAAGAGATCAGGTGACCTCCTGGCCTGGGAAAGGAAAAAAGCCCAGAGGTCGAGGAGCTGGAGGGTGAGTCAGTCTGGGGCTGGCTGGGGACCGGGAGTGAGGGCAGACGGGGGTGTCTGGCTCGCTGGGCCCCAGAATGGACCTGGCTGAGGGGTCCTGTTTGCTGTACCTACAAGCTCTGTTTTAGACCATGTTCCTGTCATCGAATAAACCTCTGTTTTACTGGCTGGCCAAGAGTCACGTCTGACTGCGGAGTTGGGGGGCAGGACCCTCTGGCTTCCCCAGGACCCCGCCTGGGCGGACTCGCTGTGGGAAGCACACGGCGGGGCAGAAGATGCTGAATGCTCCAAGGTCAGACCCTGGAAGGTGAAGCCGTGTGAGCTTCTTGCCCTGAAGACAGTCTGCTCACAGAGAGGAGACTTCACCAGAGCCCTGCCCGGCTGCATAGGGAACAGCTCCAGAGCATTGCCCGGGGACTCCGTGACAACCACCCAGACCTGGGGACACCCCCAGAATACATTGCCCGTAACCGGGGACCCTCCACAATACAGTGTCTGGAACTGCGGACCCCCCTCGATATATACCACCTGAAAACCCCACCCCCCACCCCAGAACCAGGCCAGCAGACGGCAAGGGTCTTTCCCATCCTGGGACTGGCTGGCGCTGCCCGGGGAGCGCATGGCAGACGGGGCACTCACGCAGCGCCCCCCCGTGGATGATGGCCGACATGCTGGT